GAAGATCTTGTCTGAGATGCTTACTTGGGGTACAGATCTTGCTTGGACCAAGATTTCTTTTATCTGAGTATTGTTTTGGGTTATGACTTTTCTCTCTGTTCCACAATGTTATTGCTCCTACACTTAGCACATTAGGTAATACTCTGTGTGTGTGTGCGTGTGTATAACCATAGTATGTATGTGTATGTATATATATATATACGTAGTCATACTATGGTTACAATTTATTACTCTTTGTTTATTGTTTATGGGGGCTCAATGGCTCAGTAAAAACGTTGAGCTTGTCATGTGATAGGATGAAATCCCAATACTTGCCCCTAGCAGTTTGAAAGCATGCAAATATGGGAAAGTAATAGTATTCTATGCACCTTGGCGCAGAGACAGGTTGGCAACATGACCATGGAAATGTCTTCAGACAACGCTGGCTTTCTCAGCTAAGAAACTGATATGAGCACCGCTCTCTAGAGTCAGTAATGAGTGACCAGGGGAAACATTTATCTTTTTGTTTATTTTTATATTATTTATAAATTTTGACATTATTGATTGAATTCATATTTTAATATTCTGAACTGAAGGCTTGCTTAGAGGTTTGTAGTATTTTTATTATTAGTTTTTAAAATATCTTAATGTGGAGTTTGAACCACTGAATGATTTTGTATGATATTGTTAGGTTCTTAGGGGGTTTCTTTAGGCAAAGAATGTGAATTAATGAAAGGCTATGTAATTTTGAAGAAAGCACCTACCCCCTCCTAGAAGAATGAAATATTTTAGGAAATATTAAAAAGGCAGAATATTATATTTCCCCGGATTGGAAAAGGAGAAACCCAGATCGACATTTCTTCCAACAATTTTGATCATCATTTTCTGGCATTTTGGTTAATAGAGTAGTGTCTAAGTCACTGATTATTTATTGATCTATTCCATCATTCTGAAATGGCTTCTACTTCAGTCAAGTTTTGTTGGGTTATTTCATTAGAGTTATGTTTTAGGAGATACATAATATCCAGTAAATAGCACACTAAAAGATTTCAGGGGAAGCTTTGTCAGCATGATTGTGATACAGACACCTATTTTCAGATTTTTAAAATTTCATTAGTCTTACTTAAAAATCAGAATATATCAACAGGTCTTGGAATTCTACACATACCGTTACCATACATCTGCCATAATATGATTAAGTTAAAATAATACCTTAAAATTAATGTAGCAAAATACTTGAGTTTATTTATTTTCCTAACTGTTACCCATCATATATGTTGTAATGAAATACAGTGTCTAGTGCTTACACAAAACAGTAAAAAAAATGTTAAAGGCCTATATAGTTTTCACTGAGCATTGAAATTGTTGTTGCTGGTGGTTTTCTTAGCATTTGTCCCACATAGTTGGAGGGTCAGCTTGTTTAATAGTACACTCACCTAGCTCGTAAGCAAACCTATCAATTTATGATGTAACAGGATTGTCACAGAAGCTGACACTAATTTGGGCTGAGAGGGTGTAACTGGCCAAAGGTCACCCAGTTGGCTTCCACGACTAAGGGAAGACTAGAATCTGAATTTAATTATTACACTACACTGGTTCTCTATTCCCTACCTTTTGGTGTTTCCTAATAACTTACAATTGGCCCTCTTAGATATATTATTTAATACAACATTGAAAACCTGTTTACTTGAAATGCTTTTTCATTGATGTCCCTTATTTTGATATCTTGTTTTATTCTTGTTCCATAGCTCTGGAATTTTTGAAAAAAAAATATTTTCTGTAATATTTTCATACAGCTTCATTAATTTTAGATTTTCAAGCATTACAATTTTTCTGTTTTGCTAGGATGGGTGGATTTGGGAAAAGAAGATATAAATATTTAAATTCTCTCTCCTTCACCCATCTACCCACTAACTCACTTTAGTATGTTTTCACTTTTTTGGGGGGGGAAGCTTACTTGGCAAATTCAACCTTTTAAATTATATAACATATGAACAATGATTTAGGTGATTATCAGCATAGGAAGAGAAAGTTGGTAACTCTTTGAGTAGGTCTGGCCAAACTTCATTAGTTTACTTTTGCATATTTCTGTCACTGAGACCACCTCAGTCTGTTTCCAGAGATTGGCCCATTAAGTTATTATTGTAAAGGAAAAATGCCATCTAAGGAAATGCAGGGACGAGGGGAAAGTTTTATAAGGCAGCCAAGATATTATAAATGAATAATTATTTCTGAAGAAATATTAGAAAATTGTATAGATATTATTTATCCTGTCCAAATTATTTCATGCTCAAATATTGCCTAACCCTGCCAGGGATTGAGAGCAACTAAGAATCATGTCACAATTTAAAGAGGGGGGAAGGTCAGCCTTGTACAGGTGAATAGAAAACATTGTCAGACTCACTCTGGACTCTTTCTTATTTTGCTTGCACAAGACCACAGTGGTCAATTGCAAGTCCAATATGTATATGTTTATTTCTTGCCCAACATAAACATGAGTAAAATCATCAGTTTTGTTCATGGTTTTTTCCCCCAAATTAATGTGTCATTTTAGGATGTTGAAGTGCTGCACAGTTTGAAAGCTGCCAGCTTAATGTCATCACTCAGAGTCAAAAATCATCATGAAGTAGTATGAAATATAAATAAAAGTACAAAATTGTTACAGTTCTTTTTTCCCACAGTAACAAAAAACATACAATATGGTCACTCAATGGGCATTCATCAACTAAGCTAAAATGTGATTTTATTTGGGTTTAGCATAACATTTATTTGGGTTGTCAATAAACCAAATACAATGTTTTGTAAAACATAATATATCCCTTGGCATACATTATGAACCAGTGGTGCATTGCTACCGGTTCACCCCGGATCGGGCGAACCGGTGACAATGGGAGGCTGCCCACCCACCTGGACGTCTCTGTGCATGCGCAGAAGCGTTGCGCGCACGAGCGTGCGCACGCCCATAAGTGAACCGGTAGAGACGGGATTTGAATCCCACTACTGTTATGAACCCAGCCCTTGTGACTTAGCAAACAAACCATGATTAAGAAACCATGGCTTAACACAATGTGAAACGTATCACTGTCTAAATGAATAAGGATAACCACTTTCAAACTAAGCAGGAGAAGGGGGGAAAATCCAATCACCGATGCCACATGAAATTTCTGTTTTTCATAAAGATTCATACCTAGTCCTCAGCATTCCAGTTTCCTGATCAAATAGAATCCCTAGTCATGTCCAGTGTAATCCAATTTAAAGAGCAGTAGAAACATTTCTGGATACCTTATATAAACGTATATCATGCACTGTAATTAAATATTGGCAGGAGGTGAGAAATTCCATTTTTTTCCTGGAAGACTTTATAGATCCTACAGTAGATAAAAATATGGCCTGTAATGATTCATTATAAGATTTTTCAAATCCATCACAGTCGGTATGAAAAACAATGTTGTTTTCACAGATTAATTTAATAGTATGTCTTATTTCCTCGCCATACAGACAAATAAAATTAAAAAGTCTGAGTAATCTAGATAAAATAATACAGGGTTATAATGAGCACTGTACCTCATGGAACCTGTTTTACAACTCCTTATTTGATAATTAAAATGATGAGAATAAATATGCATAATTATAAGGTAGTTGCATGTGTCCTACTATTTTTGTTCTTCATGGAATGAAAGACTAGATGGCCTATATATTACCAAGCTAAAAGCAGCTGGGGCACACTGGAGTTGATTGGGCAGATTCAACGAGTGACCAGAGACTGAGCCAACCAGCTTTCTGTCCATCATCCTCCCCTGACTCCTAAGGAAGTGGCAACTCACGGTATATAAAAGAATGGTTAGGAAGCATTCAGTTTTCTGAATGAATAACTCCTCAGCCCCAGAATAATTCCATCTAAAAGTATGGAAGGTGGGCGTGGTTGTTGTGTCCAAGCTCTTTATTTTTCCTTTAAGAAATTATGGAGGGTGGCTGTAATGCCAGAGAGTAAATCTGCTATCAACAAAAAGGAAAAAGGACTTTTAGAGAAGAAATGGTGAACTGAAGACGACTCAGCCAAAAGTGGAGTTGACAACTGCAGCTGAATGAAGACATGGCAAGTAGACTGGTTCTACATGTCATCTTTTCTCCTTATCCCCTCTGAATAGGGAGAAAACATGAGATTTCCCACAAGTGCTCCAGACAGTAGCTTTTTGTGAGGAAACCACAAGACAGCAGTCTCTTACAGTTCTCAAGCTAAAGTCCATACTTCTTCAAGTGAGGAAGGTTGAGAAACACTGATCTACAGAATAGTTTTGGACCAGCTCTTCCCAGCCTGGCTCTTTGCTTTGGAACTACATATCTCAAATCCCCAGGTTGAACGAAGTTTTCAAAGCACTTAAGTATCAAGTGTAATTCAAATGCCATAGTTTTGAAATGCCAAACAATGTTTTAGTTAGATCAACTATTTATTATTAAATTGTCTAAGTCCCGTATTATCGGTGATCTTCTTTATTAGAAATACGTAAACTCAAGTATCTACTTCTGTTTACATAATCAACAATAAAGTTCTGTCATGAGATACATTGGACTTCCTTTTTGATGTAATTCAGCTTCAAGGTGGAACATTTTTCAAGGGTAAGAAAGCATGTCAGTCAAAACATTGAAAGATGGGACTCTTTAACCTTTTCAATCTATCTTTTAATTTAAGTCCGTGATCTGATTCATAGGAGCTTCACAGATGCTTTCTTCTTTGAAAAAAATATTTTAAAAACCTGTTTTTTCTCAATGGAAATACTTGAAAAAAATACTTTTAAAATGTTGCATAGCATTAGTTATTCTTTCAAGTTCAAATGCAGACTACTACTACTAAATCTCACTTAACAAACAGTGCTTCTTCCCTGATTTTCTCCTGACATTTAAGATCAAAGAATGATGTCTATGTCTTATTTTCCTACATTTGGGGGGAAATAATAACTTCCAACTAGATTATTAAGAACATTAAGTTCCTCAAAGTGTCATACTGCTTTTCCTCATTTCCCAGGTATAATCAATTCCTCTAGTGAATCAGAAATCATTCTGGACAAGAAATCCAAACTTCATCCACTCAAAATCAGTGTAAGTTTTTATAGGCCTGCATACCAATCTTGTACTTCTGATTATTTTGTCTGATTATTTTGTCCAATTCTTTGTTCTTTCTTTGCCTCTGGATCTTCCAATAGCAGATAGCAGAATATGTACCAGTTTGCATTCTGGTAGAAATCTCTTTTGTGTGCTTTTACAATAGCAGACTTTCAGCAATTTCTTGGTTGCTCCAACTCTACAGAAAGTAAAATTCTTCCAGACATTCTTTACCAAGAAAGAAGATAAAATAAGGTTACAAAAGTCTCAGCAACTGACTTGCTTCCCTCCTTTAGAATTTCTTAAGACAGAAACTTTCTTTGTCTTCATTCAGGGCTCCTGTATGAACAGGTGATGTGGCTCTTCTCTTATCTGATGCTGGAGGAATATCCACCTGGTTAGAATATAAATATCTCTCAAGTTCTAAATATACGCCTTAGCAAGTTGAATAGCATCACATTGCCATAAAGTGAGAAAATGGAAAAGTACTTTTAGTTCCACTCTCAGCTATAATTTCATAGATAGATTTTCTGAAAGCTGTAAGGGAAAAACCCTAATTTTCTGTTCAATCCACTTTAGTAATTGTGGGAGTCTTAAGTATTAGAATGAATATTGCAACAATGTATTATTTATTTGTTGAGTTGAATAATTAATCTGGGAAAGTTCTGAATCAATGCACAGTCCTGTCCAAAATATACATATATCTTAAATTTTCTGCGCAAGTGGGAGGACAATGTTGAAGAAATGAATGTTAAGTTCCTCTTTCCATATTTGATCCCTGCTGCTCTCTTAACAGTGTTTACTAGTAATTTCTTAGCCAATGTTATTGTGGGTTTTGTTTCTAACATAAAATTGGTTTTTTTAGCTAATCCCTTAATATTGCTTATTTAGGGACCTCTGGAATGCCAGGTTAAGTAGAGAAGCAAATATTTTAGTAGGATACCAGGATATAACCCTCAGATCCTGGCTAAATCATATCCTATAGATCCTACAGGATGCACTCAAGGTTAACTGGGTGTGGGATCCGTGGTGTGATAATTTATGGCCACTACATAATATCAATTGAGTTTGAAACATTTATTCAATATATTTATCAATTTAAATAGTAAAAAGCAATATTTCAACACTGTAATCCTATGCCAGTTTGATGTAAACATATGCAGGCTGAACTGCACAGTAAATTAAATTCCACTGAAATTCATGATTTATTATTATGCTTAAGTGAGATTCCAGTGGGATGTAGATTAAGATGACAAACAACAATTGGCCCAAGCCATTCAGTAAATTTCAAAACAGAGAATAAACTATTTACTTATCTACTCATGGTAAAGCCATGTGAAGTTTATATGAAACAATATCTTGATTTAAATTCAGCGCAGGAGAAGCCAGCAGCATTAGTCTGAAATGACTGAACTTTAGGAAAAAGTGGGTTCATCCAAACAAACCATCATGCAAATTTCAGAATGTATATTTATATTTCCAAAGTAGTCTAATGATATTAGGTTAACTGTGTATTGGAACATCTAAGAGGTATCTGATCAAGATTAACACTATCTGAACTAAACTGTAATAGAATGTCATGCTTATAAAAATGCAGAGATAAGCAGTGGAAAGTCTGGATGTCTGGAACTGTTTCAGTTGAATTCTGGGTGAAATGGAAAATATCATAATTGAAAAAAAGTATGATAGGAATACATATTTAAAAGCTATAAGTTATCATATGAATTAAATTTACAAACAAACTGACAGTTCATTTCATCTTGTGCCCTAAAATATAATCTTCCACAAAGTCCTCTGACAAATTTGTTCATTGTTTTTTTCCACCTTTTTTTCTTTCCATTTATATGTAACTCCCCAACCCTCCTTATTAAAGAGAAAAATTAACTGCACAGTAAGTTTTAATTGGTAGTGCTAAGTCATATGTCAAAAGAACTTTTTTTTTCTCACACAGGAAAGTTTGTGTTTCTTTAAAGTTGAAATGTAATGGACATTTACTCAAATCTGTGGAAGAGTGATTGCTCACTGGTTCCTATGCTTTGCATGCAAGAGGCCTCAAGTGTTTCCAGAGAGGAGATGAACAAAGAAACTTATGTGAGATATTGCTTATTGACCACTGCTGCTTTTTGCAATACCTTATCTGAGAAAAGTTCTGGAAAACAGCAGAACTTGAAAATTTGCAAACTTGTTTGTTATCATTTGTGAGATACATTTCCCACTGTGAAAAGTGGTCTAGCAGCAAAACAACCAGCTAATAAAGACTCCCTACCTCCACAAAAGAAACAAATTTCTTTGCCTTTATGTAAAAGAAAACATGAGCAATGGGCTAGAATGTCACTTTCTTAAACTACATTTATCTTGGGTTCTTATTTGAGAGTAGAGTATCAGCTAGAATTCTTGTGTGACAAGCTTAACCTTTCTTCTAATAAATATTACTAACCAGAACTCTGAGAGACTCTGAACTCTTTCTGGTCCAGACAGGGAGGAGAGAAGTCTGGCATGAGTTTTGTTTACTTTATTATATATAATATGGAATTTGGATTGTATCCTCCTCTCTGCTAATGTTCTAGCACAGTAATTATTATTATTTATTTGCACTGTAGTAAATAATGTTATATTTGGAATTCAGCAGCTTTTTATCGTTCTAATTGGGATTTATAGTAAAATATACTGGATACAACCTGATACCATTTTTCTAGATTTGGCTATAAAATCAATATAAATAGAATAGAATGGCATGGCATGGCATGGCATGGCATGGCATGGCATGGCATAGCATAGCATAGCATAGCATAGCATAGCATAGCATAGCATAGCATAGCATGGATGGAATTTTTCCTACATAGAATTGCCTCTTAGTACTAGAGCCTTTGTAATATAAAATGGACTGTATTTATATGTATTTAACATGGCAGATACAACATACTAAGATTTATACAACAGTTAGAAATACTGATACTGAAGAATTAGGTATAATCCCTGGAGGAATTAACAGTAAAGCAGTAGTTTATGATAGAAGCTATAACTATTTATGTATCTGGCGCTGGTGCAGGTTTGTTGTTTAGACTCAAGAGCAAGGTAGCTCTCAGAACAGTACAATTTTAAGGTCTGTTTATATTACTGCACTTTTTTATTAATGCCAATGAAGCATACAATATGAGGAAAGTTGCAGTGATAGAACAAGTAGTCATCCCTTGGATCTAATACTTGCAACATGTGGTATTCCCATTAATTTTTAGCATTAGGTTAAAATCTTGTACTGTATAGAATAAAAAATATAACCTCCCTAAAATCCAATTCTAATTCTAACCCTAACCTGGCAACATCCTTAGCACTGTAATTTATGTTTGATACATTAGCCAGAGCCAACATGCTTCATTTAAGTCAAACACAATGTGGCTTCAAAGGGGAATTGATAAAGAGGATCAGAAACATCAGTTTGTAGCTGATCAGTTTATTCAATCTATAGGGCTTAATGGTGGGCTTAAACGTAAAAGCAGATTCATGGCTGCATAACTCCACAAAACAGATGTAGTAACAGATGCATAAGTAATTGCATTCTTTTCTTCATGGTGTCCCAAGAGTATCTTTCAATATCCTCACAATGAGAGAAGTTGACCTGGAAAATGTACAGCATGCCCTAAACTTGCAGATGGTACTGCCTGATCCCTCTTTGTTAAAGCTGAGCAAGTAGCATTGGAGTTTTGGTGAGGATTCCAGAAAGGCAAGAATAACATCTGTATCCCATATCCCATTTGCTGTTGCAGCTGGGATATGGGACATGGTGAGAAATGGTTGCCCTTTGTAATAACTAACAAAAATAGTACTTTCTAACAATTGATATCAGGCTGCTTTGTTTACTATCTATTTATGCTGCATTAAGCTGTCAAACATATTTTTTTGAAGAACTGATTTTAAATGCGCCTTGATACCGGAGGAAATGTTGTTATGTGTATACATATACATAGCAAATATTATGTATGTGTGGCTTCCAGAATACTTTTCAACTAGCAATATTAGAGTATACAGTACATTTAAAATCGATGTTTATTTCAGAAGGTGAATGTAGCTCTGACAAAATCTGGCAAGGATTATATTTTCTTCAGAGAACAGAATGGAGAATGTTCGTTACATAGAACTGGGTTAGGAATAGAAGCTAGTTGTGGATCTAATAACAGAATTCTGAAAATCTGAAGTAGATCAGCAAGAATTTCTGATTACCAGTTGTTTAATAGCAATAGAAAGCTAGTAATTATATTGCTGCATTTAAAACTCTTGAAATTGGGGTATTCAAAAATAGAACTTTGTGTGGAAGGATTTGACTTCTATTCATTTTTGGCTGTGAAAAAAAAATACCCTGGATTTAGAATGTTTTAATTATGTGTACTTTTTTCATTAAACTCTAGTTAGGAAGTTTCTAATATAAATGATGTATATCCCTCAAACTTAAAGACCATCCTAGATGTAGAAGATTACCATGTAGCTTAATAAAATTTTCCTTCTTCTATGCAACTATTAAAATACACAATTCTTTTTTCCTATGCGTTTTTGCCCTTTTATTTTAAGTAGTGATAAATTTCTTGTGTTCAAGAAACTAGCAATTATTACTCACTCCATGTGTGGGCAATAACAGTATATCAAAGTGGAGGAAAAGCGTTATTTTTATAGCCCAAAGATCATCTGAGGGCAGCATATATGCTTAGCAGCAGCAATTCCTAGGGAGATTTTAAACCAAGAAGACTAAGGAAAAAGAAAAAGTGATGACATGCCCACTCTCTTAACTATTGCTCCTTTCTTAATTTTGAAACTGTCAATAAAAACTGCAAATTTCCTAAGGAATATTTTACAGACATATTACATGAAAATTCAGTTTTGTTTGTTTTCTGCGGAAACTTAGTTGTCCGAAGTAAAGTACTTTGGTAAAAATGGTAGTGGCAGATAATAGGATAACTTTGAATGCTTTTGTATAAAAAACTCCTGTGGTGCACCATAAAGTTCTATACAAGTATGTGTGTTCTCTCTTTCTTTCTCTCTCTCTCTCCCTCCCTCCCTCTCTCTCTCTCTCTCTGTCTCTCTCTCTCTGCATGTCTGCGTGTGTTTCCCTCCTTCAGCCTGAAGATTCCAGCTCCTAAATGTGTAACTCAAATATAGTTTTTGTATAGCAGTTGTCAAGCTACTAATAGCTGAAGGTAAGTGAAACATTCCTGCCAGATGTCCATGTCATTCTGTTTCCTGGTAAAACTGAGAGTATAAAGATATTGGACAAGTGTGCTCATGATTCCCCTCCAGTCCTGGTGTTTGATAAATTTATTTATTTATTTATTTATTTTATTAAATTTTTATACCGCTCTTCTCCCGAAGGACTCAGGGCGGTGAACAGCCGGGGTTAAAATACATGCAGTATAAAAATTAAAATAAATTAAAAATAATTAAATCTAATTTGGCTTTCCAATTTTAAAACCCCTTACCCATAAATTTTAATCAATTAAAATTTTAAGCCAGTCCGACTCGCTGAAACAAGAAAGTCTTCAGAGCCCGGCGGAAAGTACGGAGGTCTGGGATCATTCGTATTGCTGGGGGTAGCTCATTCTAGAGGGCGGGTGCCCCCACAGAGAAGGCTCTCCCCCTGGGGGTCGCCAGTCGACATTGCTTGACCGACGGCACCCTGAGGAGACCCTCTCTGTGGGAGCGTATTGGCCGGTGGGAAGTTATCGGTGGCAGAAGGTGGTCTCATAGCTATCCGGGCCCTAAGCCATGGGGCGCTTTAAAGGTGAGAACCAAAACCTTGAAATGCACCCGGAAGATCACCGGAAGCCAGTGCAGCTCTCGCAGGAGAGGTGTTACATGGGACCTCCATGTCGACCCTATAATCACCTGCGTGGCTGCATTCTGGACCAGTTGGAGCCTCCGGGAGCCCTCTGTAGAGAGCATGGGGTTCCTTAAGTTCATATTTTATTTGAAAAAGCATCTAAGCATCTAAATATGTAGTCTGCCTATTTAACTACAAGTTTGAATAATCTGTTTTTACTTCTATCAATATTGCCCTAGCACCATCATGCACCACAGCTCTCTCTCACTCACTCACTCTCACTCTCTATTTCTGAAGTCTCAAATTAGATTACTTAAGAGAACAATTCCTTGTCTTTCAAGTTTCTTGAAAGTTGCTGAGGACGCAGTGTACAATTTGACCTAGTCAATGTTTGCTTGGGTGTACATCTGACCAATTTTGTTCAGAAGGAGAAATTGAATTGTCCTTAAAGGAGCAATAAAGGCACAGTTCATTAACTGGCTTTAAAATGCAACACATGCTTAACTTCAATAGTGGAAGCGAGACACACACTTTTATACAATTTTTCAGAACTTTACCATAAACTCAGGTCATAGTTCCCCAGCCATACAGCTCAATCTGCTTTGTGTTACATTGCGGACAATAGAATTAGTAAAGGCTACATAGTAAGCAGTACCCATTACTGATAATTGTTATGTAAGAGGAATTCTCAGCTGAGAATCTCATTTAATTTTTCTGAAAGCAACAGTTTCCAGTAATGTAATGTATTGATCATTTTGATACATACTGAACATCTCCTCAAGCTAAGATGGCAATGTCCCCATACTACAAAAACCAAGATTATATTTGAAAGTAATTCAAGTAAGTCTCAATGGTTTCTTTGCCTAACTGCAAAGTAAGGATGGAGACAGGGGTGGGCTCTACTTACCTTTACTACTCATTCGCAACGGGGCCTCACGCGCACGCTTGCTTTGCACGCTTGCACATGTGCAGAAGCTTCCTGATGACGTCGGGGTCAGTGGGTGGAGCCTCCCACCGGTTTTACTACCGGTTCTATAGAACCGGTCCGAACTGGGGGCAACCCACCACTGGATGGAAAGCAAGAGCCCTGAAATGGCCCATTACCAGTAAGTATAAATTAGGAAACCGAACAAGCAGGCAGACAGACCACCAGCTCCCTTCAATAGTGTGAATTATATTAAATTTGTACTAAACTATAGAGATTGATTAGAAGTTGCATTCTTACTGTAAGTGTACACAGGCTTGATACAGAGTGATGTATAGTATCTTCTTTGAGGACAAGGCATTTGTTGTGGCAATGGGTAAATTACCCCTTAATATCACGCTATATATAAAATGCACCTGGGCTAAATGATATAAAATAACAATGTTTCATTCCCTTCCTTTTTCCTTTTCCTGACCAGAAGGAACTGCATTCAATGTTTCATCATAGTCAACCAAGATGCTTGTGAAACATGCATGTTGGAACAA